TGGTGCTGGTGGTGGTGATGATGTTGATTATGATGGAAATGCTGGTGATGATGACGATGCTGATGACAATGACGATGGCGATGGCGGCAACAACGATGGTTATGGTGATGATTGTGCTGCTCGTCGTGATGTCGATGAAGATAATGATATTTCGGGTATGTTATTGATGATGATGGCGATGATGATGATGATGATGATGATGATGATGATGATGATGATGATGATGATGATGATGATCATGATCATGGTTCTGGTGTTGGTGGTGGGCAGGAGTAGGAGGAGGAGGAGGAGGAGAAGGACGCAGAGGAGGGGAAGGATGGACATGAGGAGGAGGAGGAGGAAGAGATGATGAAAGTATGATGATGGTGGCGGTGATGATGATGGTGACTCTTACCCCTGCTGCACATCATATCATTGTGTTGTCATGGTTGTGATTATATAACTATGGTAGTGGTGACAATGAAGATGATTATCATGAGGAGGGAGAGCAGGAGGAGAAGGAGGACTCATGCCGCAATTTAGTATTGTATCTTTTGTGGCGCGTATGCCTACGGCCAGACGATTCGATTATGCACGCTACTCGTCCAGCCATCAAGGCCGCGGACACTATAATCGCGAGTAGGGAGCCTACCAGATTCCACTGGTCTCCACTTTCCCCTTGATTCGACGGCAGCGCTTCAGCACAAGTCAATAATATGCGGAGCCCTCCTTGTCCATTTCTTGATTAATATTCCAACCATAGATGTGGGAGAGGTCTTGCGATGACTTAGGGTGCGGCTAGGTCGCGTGATACTTGCCGTCATTCGGACGCAGAGGGCACAGAGGAGGACGAGGAGAGAAGAGGGAGAGAGAGAGGAGCAGGAGGAGCATGCCGCGGGAGAAGACGTGGAGGAGGAAGACGAGGAGGAGGAGGTCTATGTGTCTGTGTGCCGACCATTGTCGATTCTTATCTCCCAGAGCCGAAGCAAGAACAGAGTGCGCGACCCTGTTCGCCTTCCCCCCCGAAGCAATGGGAGGCACCCAGCACTGAGACACCAGGGGGCCCAAAGCACGCAGACGACAGGGCGGTTGGAATAGCGACAGCCATGACAAGGAGAAACAGTACAACGCAAACATCAGAATCAGGGAAGCACGATGCGAAGCAGTGCGACGTTACATCAGAAATTCGACTGCAAGGCCACGAAGCACCGGTCTGGAGAAACATCCGCTGCACGACTGTGAAGCAAAAGGTACCAACGACATCCCAATCAGCAATCAACCACAGCTGCATATCTCAAAGTGGACGGCACCAGGGTACGCAACGTCAGAACTCACTAGAGTCCTGGAGGCCGTCGTCCACTGATAGGCCGGTACATCCCACATGAACATCAACTGCGCGTGCTTCGGACCTGAAATATATTTCAGTCTCCGTGCGTCACGCACTTCTGCGATGCCCCGGAAAAAAACACAAGGCAGAGCGATGTCACGGAATACACTCCTGGAGTGCTTTCAGTTCGTGCACCAACACGAGCGAATGTCTTGGAGGCCGTTTTTCGCAGCTAAGCCAGTACACCCAAATCCAGTCGCGGCACTGAAAAAGTCACGGAGTCGGAGCGTCGCGTACCTCTGCGATGCCACCACCAAGGATGAAGTCATAAGTGCGGCACCCGACGCGCGGAGTCAGAGTTGTGAGGCCAGATGGTTGGCACGAGAAGCTGCTAGAAAACGAACCGCAAGCCTTGCGCCGCCCAGGGTGCGACGGTAGGGTGCCGGGCGGCTCGCGCCGCTTGCAAGCGCGATGCCATCCGCACTTTGGTCGCGTCTACTGGCCTGGGGTGATGATAGCAGGTGGTGGGGGGCCAAGCGGTGGAGGTAGGTCGGGCGGAGTTCCAGCTTCGTCGAGTGCCTCGGCCAGGGTCTGCTGCGTGGGGGCGTCTGGAAGTGGGTCACCAGCGGCAGCGCGGACAGTACGAGCACCGGGCGGACGGAACGGATGCTTCCCAGGGTCGCAACGGCATCGGTTACCCAGCCTGCCTGTGTCCACAGCATTGGGGGCCCAATCCTGACCAGCAGCATCTCCATACGGATTCTGGGCAACGTAGGAAGATGGTAAGTCATGGTGCGCTTCCTCGGCGTCGAACAGGACGGGACGAGGTAGGAGGAGAGACGATAATGACGAGGAGGAGGACGCGAAGGAGGAGGAGGAGGAGGAGGAGGACCAGCGTAAACGCAAGGCAATAATGCAATAAACCATCACTCCAAGTTACCTCTTCATAGATCGTGTCAGGAATTTGTTCTCATTGCGGGAAGTGCCCGCCGAAACGCCGTTCTTGGGACTTCAGCGCCGCGAATCAACGTGACGGTTGTGCTGACAGTCTTACACCGTGCCAGTAAAACATTTTTGGGACTTCAACACCGCGAATCAACGTGACAGTTGCGTCCTGACCGTCCGAGATCGCACCGCAAGACAGTTCCTGGGTCAGCAACCCTGAGAATTCTTAAACCGATTCCAAACTTTTAAGAAATACGTTGTGCGGCGCCGACGTGAGAGCCGCTTTAGAAAATGAACCACTTTACATCCATGAATTCGTTACAAGTTTACAGGAATAGTTTGCGCGGCGCCAGCGCGAGAGCCACATCCTGAAAACGGTAGTCCTTCGTCCTTGAAGCTGTTGCAAAGTTTGAAGGCGAATGTGCGCGGTGGCAGGGCGAGAACCACATCCCGCCCTCCATTCGCGAAGCTGCCACATGGCAAGACGAATGCGCGGGGCGCTAAGGCGAGAGCCACATTATGGAAACGGCCCACCCTCCATCCACGAGACTGCTGCAAACGTTTAGGACGAATGTGTGCGGCGCTAACGCGAGAGCCACATTATGAAAACGACCAGCTGGCCATCCATGAGATTACTGCAAACTGTAAAGGCGAATGTGATCGACGCTAGGCGAGAGCCACATTTGAAGACGACCCGCCCTCCATTCATGAGACTGCTGCAAACATTCAAGGCAAATGTGCGCGGCGCTACGGCGAGAGCCACATTTTGAAAACGACAGGCCGTCAATCCATGAGACTGCTTCAACATGTTTTATGACGAATGTGTGTGGCGCGAACGCCAGAGCCATTTTTGAAAAGGAGCCGCCTTCCATCCATGAGTTCGTTGCAAACTTATGAGAAGAATTTGTTCGGCGCTAGCGCGAGAGCCACATCCTGAAAACTTCGGCCCTTCATCCTCGAAACTGCTTCAAAGTTTTATCACACTGTGAGGACGATTGTACGCGGTGGCAAGGCGAGAACCATATGTTGAAAAGGTCCCGCCCTCCATTCGTGAAGCTGCTACAAAATTGCAAGACGAGTGCGCGCGGCGCTAAGGCGAGAGCCACATTTTGGAAGCGGCCCGCCCTCCATCCATGAGACTGCTTCGAATTTTTAAGACGAGTGTGCGCAGCGCTGACGCGAGAGCCACATTTTGAAAACGACTGGCCATCCATCCAGGAGACTGTTGCAAGCTGTTAAGACGAATGTGCGTGACGCTAGGCGAGAGGCACATTTGAAGACGACCAGCCCTCCATTCATGAGACTGCTGCAAACATTTACGGCGAATGTGCGCGGCACCACGGCGAGAGCCAAATTTTGAAAACGACCCGCCCTCCGCTCGTGAAATTGTTGCTAATGTCGCGCTTCAGGATCATGAGTGGGAAGTCTCGGGCGAAACGTCCGGCCCGCTATACAGACGTCTGGGAGTGCGACAGGGAGTAGCTATCAAGCCGCCTTCGGCACGTTCCGCCGCCCAGCATTCTGGGTGGTGACTGTTTCAAGGTGAGACAGCTGTGATGAGGAGGGTGAGGATGATGATGCTAAAGATGATGTTGCTGATTTTGAGGATGATAGTGCTGTTGATGGTGATGGTGCTGGCGATGCGGGTGATGATGCAGATGATGGTGATGAAGATGCTGATGCTGCTGCTAATGATGCTGGTGATGACGACGATGTGGGGGGTGAGGAGATGGATGAGGACGATTTTAATATGATGATGCTGATTGTTATGATGATGCTGACGATGATGACAATGAGGGCGATGATGATAAAGATGATGGTGATGCTGCTAATGAGGATGATGCTGTTGATGATGCTGATGATGCTGCTGCTGATGATGATAACCAGGATGATGACCAGGATGATGACCATGATCATGATGATGATGATGATGATGATGATGATGATGATGATGGTGATGGTGATGGTGATGGTGATGATGCTGATGCTGCTGCTGCTGCTGATGATGATGATGATGATGATGATGATGATGATGATGATGATGATGATGATACTGACGAAGAGGAGGATGAGGAGGAGGAGGAGAAGGAGGAGGAGGAGGAGAGGAGGAATCTGAATACCGTCACATATGACACCTTTTCATCTTCACTACTTGAGAAGCTGTCATGGAACTCGTTTGGGCCATCTTGGAGCTGTCTTGGCCTCCTGTGAGGCAGTCTTGGGGGTCCCTCTTGGGCCATCTTGGGGCCCTCTTGGCCGAATGATGGGTGTCTGCGGGCCGTCGTGGGGCCGAGGTGGGCCGTCGAAGGGCCTTCTAAGTCCGGTATGGGTCTCGCGGGAGGCCCTCTTGGGCAGTTTTGGATTTTTGTTAGTGCAGTGTCGCCTCGAGAGCGCGATCTGCAGTATTTTTAAAAGGAGGGGTGGCCCAGGGGGCGCGAACTGGTCGTCGTATTTTACAAAGGAGTGTGGCCTCGGGAGTGCGAGCCTGTTGTATTTTACAAGTTGTGGCCTCGGGAAAGGGGGCGATGCGCGCGGGGCAGTGTTGAGAGATGGGGGAGCCCCTAGAAAATTACAGCAACCCTGCCAGACAGCACTTGGCATTCTAGCACGCTTCGACGTGCCAGGGGGCAGAGTGGTGGATTTATCAGGACACGGGGTAGAGGAAGATGAGGAGGAGCAGCAGCAGGAGGAGGAGATGGAGGATCAGGAGCAGGAGCAGGAACACGAGGAGGAGCAGGAGGTCGTGCAGGTCCCCGACGCGCAGCCGGGCGAGTCGGCCACCCTCGTCCTTGCCGAGACCGCTGGGAGGTTCCGCCTCGTGAGCGGCCGCGCGCAGTTTGGCCCAGCGCTAATCCTTGTGACGTAAATAACTCGTCGTCGTCGTCGTTTTCCCCTCCTCCTCCTCCTCCTCCTCCTCCTCCTTCTCCTCCTCCTCCTCCTCCTCCTCTTCCTTCTCCTCCTCCTCCTCCTCCTCCTCCTCCTCCTCCTCCTCCTCCTCCCATCTCCTCCCCCTCCTTCGCCTCCTACTACTACGCACTGCGTCTTTAGCGATGCCGCACGGCCACGCCCGACGCCCTGCGGCGCCATCTCACGTATGCGTTGGTATGTTACAATGGGGGAGGTGATGACGACGATGACGATGACCATGATGATGCTGGTGATTCCGATGGCGAGGTCCAAATGACGACGACATGCTGATGTTGGTGCCGATGCTTGTGCAGATGCGGACGACAACGAACAGATGATGGTGATGCTGATGCCGACAACGACGATGACATGATTTGGCAATGCATAAGACTAGTGCTACAGGCTTGTTCCGATGTTGCTTGGTAAATCGGTGCCGCCGTGCTTTTCCGCGTGTCAGAGACGCGTCATGGGCCAGATAATGAACTTATCCTACGCGCGGAGTGGTGCGCCGCATAACCTCCGCCGCCCCCAACCCTGCCTGCCCCGCCCTCGCCTCCGCGGAGGACGCGACGCCCCGTTTGGGGCAATGGCATTGATACAATGCTAAGATTCGCGCGCGCTCCCCCGCCCCTGAGCTGTTTTTGTTCGGGCTCGCCTCGAACTCACTGATTGCCGGTGCGTGTAGTTCACCTTTCTCTCCCTCTCTCCCCTTTTTCTCTCAGGCCGCCCTGCTCTTCTGTTTCGGGGCGGCAGTCGGGGCGGTCACGAGCCGCCAGACGGAGACGGCCGGATCACCAGAAGCCCCCCCGGTGACCGAGAGGCCGCGGAGCTCGACGCAATTTGGGTGGGGGCCCCATACGACGAATCCCAGCCCAGGGATCGCGTCTGGAGCACCCGCCCGTCCCCGCATCGCAAGTGGCACACTGCCGCGCGATGCCGGAGCCTGTGCGAGACTTCCCCACTGCGGACGTTGTGAGATCCACTCCCGTCGGACGAGCTCGCCTTGGAGGAGGAAGCTCGGGAGGACGCACCCAGGGCAGGGCTCGCACGCTGGTGGACCACCTCGGAGGAGGGCCATGCGATTGGAGATGATTATAGTTCCAGGTCGCCGAATTTTTGAAAAACTGAGTTCTCAAATTGTGTTGTTCAAATATGAAAATGTTGTATGGCTATTTTTCAACATTTGCATACGTAACATTAATGTGTGGCAGACTTGCACATTCATTCCTGTCGCACCAGTGAATTTACAGGACTGGTCATCATGTCGTTCTCTAGTTTTTTCCTAGTTAACGCAAAAGGGAAATCAACGTGTGGCAGAGTTACACATTACTTTCTTGTGTGCCAATATGAAAACTAAAGAAATAATGGAACTACATTTCCAATTCGAGTTTTATCTTTTCGATGTCCAAACAAGAAATCAACGTGTAACCTGCCACACATTTCTGTTGTTTATGCGAACTTGAACAGTTGCTCCCCAACCGTCCTGTGGTTTTGGGTCTTCGTTCTGAAGAGACAGTGCCCCGCGTTCCTCCTTCTCCTTCTCCTCCTCCTCCTCCTCCTCCTCCTCCTCCCCTCCTTCCTCCTCCCCTCTCTGCCTCTGCTCTCCGCATGTCCATCCCATGTCGGCACATCCCTCACGCGCTTCGTGGCCCCATTGGGAGCTCCAACTATGGTTGAGTCTGTGTTTTGGAGGCAAACTAGCCTCAAACATTACATTCATAAAACTCTAATAATAATATGATCCAACTCTGATTCAACTCTGGCCCGGAACTCTGTTTCATGTATGATTTTCTCGAAATTCTGATTTAACCCTGGTCTGAACTCCGATTTAACTCTGATTCGGCTCTGTCACCAACCAGAGCTAAATCAGAGTTAAATCAGAGTTCCAGACCAGAGCTAATTCAGAGCTTCAGCTAAACCAGAGAGATGAAGCTGAGTTTCAGGCCAGAGCCAACTCAGAGTTCCGTAAGAGCGCGCCCGTACGGAACTCAATACTAAAAGAGGGGACCCAGCTTCAAGCTACCCCCCCCTTCCTCTGAAAAGGGGGGGGAGGTTCCGAAGCTACCCCCCCCTCCCATCTGAAGGGTTTCTAAGCTAGGGGGGCCCTGGCTAAAGGGGGGGGGGAGGCTTCGAAGCTATCCCCCCCCTCTCTCCCTTTTCCGGAGCAGAAGGCGAGCCCGGGCTTCCCTTTCAAAGGAGGGGGGCTTCGGAAGCTACCCCCACCCCTCTTTTTTTCGGGGGGGTCTGGACACAGGGAGGGGCGGCTTCAAGCTAACCCCCCCCCCTCCTGTGCCAAGGGAGGGGGGGCTTCCGAAGCTACCTCCCCCCCCTCCCTTCCTGGGCTCTGGCAACATGGCGAAATCCTTGACGACAGGTGCGCACCGCAGCGCTAGAAAACGAATTGGAGAATAACGTCGACCCCTGGTTCGTAGTCTCGCTTTCTCGGCCCCTGGTTCGCGTTTTCTCGGGCCCTGATTCCTTTTATCCTTTTCTCGTTTTCTTGGCCCCTGGTTCGTGTTCTTGTTTTCTCGTGTTTTCGGCTCCTGGGTCGCGGTCTCGTTTTCTGTGACCCTGGTCCGCGTTCTCGTTTTCTCGTTTTCTCGGCGCCTGGGTCGTGGACCAGTTTTCTCGGACCCTGCTTCGTTTTCTCGTTTTCTCGGCCCCTGGGGTGTGTTTGTCTTTGCTCGGTCGCTGGTTCGTATTTTCGTTTTCTCGTTGTCTCGGCCCCCAGGTGGTGGTCTCGTTTTCTCTGACCCTGCTTCGTTTTCTCGTTTCTTCGTTTTCTCGGCTCCTGGGTCGTGGTCTCGTTTTCTCGAACCAAGCGTTTTCTGGTGATTTCGGCCCCTGGGACGTGGGTCGTTTTCGCGTTTTCTCGTTTCCTCGGCTCCTGGGTCGTGGTCTCGTTTTCTCGGGGCCTGGCTCGTTTCATAGTTTTTTTGTTTTCTAGGCCTTTGGGTCGTGGTCTCGTTTTCTCTGTTCAGGTTCGCTTTTTTCGTTTTGTTGTTTTCCCGGCCCCTGGTTCCTAGTCTCGTTTTCTCGAGCCCTGATTTCTTTTATACAGTTTTTTCGTTTTCTCGGTCTCTGGGTCGTGGTCGTGTTTTCTCGGACGCTGGTTCGTTTTCGCGTTTTCTGTGCCCTTGTGTCGTGGACTCGTTTGCTTGGACTGTATTTTGTTTTCTCGTTTTGTCGTGTTCTCGGCCCCTGGGTCGTGGTCTCGTTTTCTCAGACCCTGGTTCGTTGTTTTCTTTTTCGTTTTCTCGGATTTTGTTGTTCTGTGTTGTTTGTTCGGGCCGTGGTTCGTGATCTCGTTTTCTTGTTTTCTCGGCCCCTGGGCCGTGGTGTCATATTTCCTCGGAACCCTGTTAGTTTTCTCGTTTTCTTGTGTTCTCGGCCCCTGGGCCGTGGTCTCGTTCCTCTGACCCTGGTTCGTTTCTTGCTTTCTCGGCCCCTGGATCGTGGTCCCGTTTTCTCGGACCCTGGTTCGGCTTCTCGTGTTCTCCGTTTCTCGGCCCCTGGATTGTGGTTTTGTTTTCCTTGACCCTGGTTCGTTTTCTCGGGCCCCGGTTCGCTTTCTCGTTTTCTCGTTGTCTCGGCCCCTGGGTCGTGGTCTCGGATTCTCGGGCCCCGGTTCGTTCTTGCGTTTTTTCGTTTTCTCGGCCCCTGGGTTTTTGTCTCGTTTTCTCGGCCCCTGGTTCGTTGTCTTGTTTTCCCGTCTTCTCGGCCCCTGGGTCGTGGTCTCGTCTTCTCTGACCCTGATTCGTTGTCTTGTTTTCTTGTTTGATCGTCCCCCGGGTCGTGGTTTTGTTTTCTCGGACCCTGGTTCGTTTTCTCGTTTTCTTGTGTTCTCGGCCCCTTGGTCGTGGTCCAGTTTTCTCGGAGCCGTTTTTTTTATATCGTTTTCGCATTCTCTCTGCCTCTTGGTCGTGGTCTCGTTTTCTCGGACGCTGGTTTGTTTTCTCGTTGCCTCATTTTCTCGGCCCCTGGTTCGTAGTCTCGTTTTCTCGGGTCCTGATTCCTTTTATCGTTTTCTCGGCCCATGGGTGGTGGTCTCGTTTTCTAGGACCGATATTGACCGATATTCGCGTTTTCTCGGCCTGGGTCGTGGTCTCGTTTGCTCGTGCGGACCCTGGTCTGTTTTATCGTTTTCTCGTGTTGTCGGCCCCTGGGTCGTTATCGTGTTTTCTCGGACCGTGGTTCATTGTCTCGTTTTCTCGTTTGCTTGCCTTCTGGATTTTTGTTTCGTTTTCACGGGCCCTGGTTCGTTTTCTCGTTTTTCTCGTTTTCTCGGCCCTTGGGTTGTGTTCTCGCTTTCTCGGGCCCTGGTTCGTTTTCTCGTTGTCTCGTTTTATCGGCCCCTGGTTTGTTTTCTCGTTGTCTCGTTTTGTCGGCCCCTGGGTCGTGGTGACGTTTTATCGGACCCTGGTTCGTTTTCGCTCCCTTTCCTACCTCGTCCATCCCCTCCCTCCTTCCTCCGCTTCCCTCTCCCCCCCTTTCTATCCTCCCCCGTTCGCGCCCCTCTTCCCCCCCCCTCTCGTCTTCAGTTTGCCTCCTTCCTCCGCCCCTTACCCCCTCCCTTATCCTCCACCTTCCCTCCTCCCCCTCTTCCGGGCCCTCCCTTATCCTCCACCGTCCCTCCCTTTCCCTTTCCTCCTCCCCCTGCTCCCCTTATCCCCTCCCTTATCCTTCCACCTTCCCTTATCGCTCCCGCCCTCGTTCCCGCCTTGGATCCCGCCCTCGCTCTCGCCCTCGTTCCCGCCCTCGTTCCCGCCCTCGTTCCATCCAGCCTTCGTTCCCTCCCTCGTTCTCGCCTTCGCTCCCTCTGTCGTTCCCGCCCTCGTTCCTGCCGTCGCGGCCCCCCCTCGTTCTCGCTCTCGTCCCCGCCTTCATTCCCGCCCTCGTTCCCGCCCTCGTTCCCGCCCTCGTTTCCGCCCTCGTTCTCGCCCCCGTTCCCGCCCTCGT